TCAATGAAAACAACTACAAGACCGGAACTATTTTCACCGCGCAGGAATATGTCATCGCTACTGCCATGTTATGAGGCCATGGAAAGTTGTAGAACAACACACACATCACAACTCACACTGTTCAGTCAAATTGACTTAATATAATTTACAGGTCATTGAGCTGGCTTACAAAGCTGAGTTCAAATAAAAACAACTTGTGAAATTAAGTAGAAATTGCATGAATTTATATATTAAGTGAAAGTAACTTAAAGAAAAAAGTTACAATATCTTAAAGGTGGGGTATGTAATTTTGAAGAAACCAGCTTGAGTGCGCTAGAATTTGAAAATACACACCTGGAAAAAATCTGCCACTTCCTTATGCTGCGTTCACACCGGACGCGATGCGCTGTTTGGGGGCGGCGCGATTACATGTAAAGTCAATGCAGAGACGCGGACAGACGCGAATTCGCTCCGACGGCGCGCATGAAGCGGTGGACGCGGCGCGAATCACACGATTGAGGCGATTGAACGGTGCCGCGTTAAACGCGAGAGTTCAATTTTTTCAACTCGAGCGTCAAATTCACGTGACGTGTTCTCGCGGAAGCCAATCAGCGGTGAGAATCTCAGCCGCCGTCACTGACGTTCAACCACACAACATCAGCCGTTAGCTGTTAGCAGTTAGCACACAGAGCTCACAGCTCCTCATATCTGTTCAGAAACTGGACAAAAGTTAAACAAGTACAAACCACAGACTGTCTGTGTCATGGTGAATATCGCTGCTTTATTTATGTCTGTAGGCCGTTGTTATGAGTGTGGAATGAGCATATACAACGTTAGCTTAGCCTGGTCGATCCGATCTTCATTCAGAAAACAAGCATTTTAAAAGGTGTTTTGCCTGCAGACTTGTCAAAGCCTTAATTCATGGTTGTTACTAACCGGTATCAGTATGTTGTTACTTCGGCATCATTTAGAAACGTGTATTACAATTTAATCACGGTAAAATATGTTCATTTGTTGTAGTTGTAGCTCCCGAGCCAGCGCGTCTTGTTTGAATGATGCGAGTAAACACAGCTGGCAGCCGCGGTGAACCTCCAGCGTTTAGAGCGATGCGATAGGAGCGATTAGAGCGAAGCGAATAGTCGCATCGCGTCCGGTGTGAACGCAGCATTACAGAGCCCGTCCTCCAACACACACCGATGGAAGGCTGACAGGCAGGTAGGCCATCCAGTTATTTTAGCCGGGCCAGCTAAAATGATTGGTTGTGCTTTTTACAGCGCTACGGCTTCCACAGATTACATTTTTTAATGTATTTATTGTCAAAGCATTTCATATATTCATTGCTATCGGGATGTTAAGAGCATTCCATGGAATATAACAAAAAGTGTTTCTGAAATAAATTACACCCACCTTTAATGATCAAATCCTTTTTTACAGTGTATCTGCTCTTCATGCATGACATTAACCCCTTAATGGCAAGACATGAGATATGATTTTGAGCTTTATTTTTGTCTGATTAAGTTCATAACAAACACTGTATTACTACCTCATGGTCTCACTTCAGTCACTTGTGGGTCACAGAGTAATAACAGTGATTACACTTAATAACGATAACACGATAACAACTCAAAACCCAATGATCACTAATGGTAAACTCAAACACTAAAAATTGTTTTTTTATCTTGATCAACTCTAGTGAGAAATTGTTTGCAAAGATTCCACTCTTCAAGGGTTAACATGAGGAATTATAATTCCTGGGCACTGAATTCATATGAATCACAAATATTCTCTCTTCAGTGAAACTGCTGTTAACTTTCTGTTGCCTTTTTAATAGAGTGGAAAGAACTCTCACTTCATAAATCAACAACTTCATCTGATTACTTTTGTGCCTGTGTTACATTTATCAAAAAAAGTATATATTCTAAGATTATACTTGTTTTACTTTAACAGGAATATGTCATGTACGTTTTTTAGTTACAATGTGATAATGTAAAGTGTGAATCCATCATAGGACGTAAGCAGCTTTCTGTATAAAGAGCATTCCCTGTGCCCGGATATTTTCTTCAAGGCCTGTTTTCACTTAATGTGCATACTGTCTCTAGACCTGTGTTACCAGCCGTCGTAAAAGCAGTGACCCAAGCCTTGTTATACTCATAGCTTTAACTCAGAAAAAGAAACTCATTTCAGGACGTCTCACGATGCCAGCAGCATGACCCAGTCGCTGCCAAACCTGCAGAGTCCGGAAGTCCTAGTATGGGGTTTCCTACTGTGAGACTCAAATCTACACATGGTTTACAGGAAGTGTTGTGGCCTTGTGGGTCATTCGTCTTCCTTTCTGATGTAATGAATTGTGTTCTGTCTCATGTTCATTCCACCAAAACATTGTGTGTTGTCATTGGTGAATTGCTTTATTTACACTAACTTTAATAAAAGAAAAAAAACACCTTGTTTTGATTGATATAATTCATCTTCAGTGTAATGGCTTTGTGTATTTCAGGAATGTTGTTCAGCGGAATGTGGAATTGATAATGGAACTGCCTTTCATTCAAAGAGCTCTTTGATTCAAGGCTCACTATGGAAATAAGAGGGTGTTGAGAATATGCTCAAGTAGTGTACTTGAGTACAATTTCAATGTATATATAAAGAGGGTGAGAGGAGAGAGGAAGGAATGAATGGAGTGGAACTGCAAACAAGTAAACATTGTGGTAAATAATGCAGAAATAATAAGCTTTGCAAGTAATCCTTATGAAGAAGGAAAGACGCTCAATGATTCACACAAACATTTTCGGGAGAAACATTGAATGCAAACAGAATATTTTATGTTTACTAGATGTCTCTTCATGGCACCTTTACATTTTAAACGATGTAATAATATGGAGGTGTAGAAATAGAGAAATGTTGCCTCATCTCTGAAAACTGACATCTCCTGTATAGGTTGCAGTGCTATTGAGCAAATCACTCTACCATTTTAATTGCTCCATAGCCGGTTCATAGACTGACAGTAAAAACCCCATGTGTGATTCTGCGTTTGTGTGTAGGCATGAGTCTCTGCAGCTGCTCCCTGTTGTATTGAACAAATCTAGAGTGTAGTCTAGCACTGCCTGAGGAATACAAAAAGATTCATTAACAATCCCTTAAATACCATCACCTTTAATCAGATTTGCATTCTTTGTTTGTTTGGTTGTTTGCTTTGAAGGTCGTTACCACAACAAAGAATGTACATGTTATCCGATAGCTAATTTCCATATAAAAGTAAAAATCAATTGTAGTTTCTACACCTCATTAAGCCTGCGTATTCTTATGTTTCAGTCTCTATCTCAAAATAAATCCTCTTTTTGGTGCAGCTCAGTAGTAATGATACGTTGTAGTTTAAAGGGTGGGCAATAAAGAAGCTTATATAATGTGTACAGCATTCGTGTAGACTGCTATATTCCAGTGATTATACAACTTGAATAATTACCCACACACATCCTCAAGAATAGAAACGATAAGTTCTTTAAGTTGAACAAAAAATCAAAGAGGTGATTCAAAGGTTTTGTCAAGAAGCTTTGCTGTATCTAATATATTTTTTTTAACACAGCCTATTCATTCAAAAATAAATATGTTTACCTAAGCATCTTAATAAAAAAAACCTGTTTTAAAAAACAAAAATGCTTTTAAATAACTTGGGCAGTTACGTAAAGACAGTCAGTTTTGTTAGTATCATTTTCAAATCTCAAGACTGTGGGTTATGGTTGCATAGTAAAATAGAATGATATTTTACTGTATCCACCAGGGCAAGATATTTGTCTTTGTATGACAAATAAAACAATACTCACAGCAAAATGAATCAAATAATAAAAGTGACACATAACTGATCCGCATAAAATGTAGAACTATGTGTGCAAAAGTAAATAAAAGTAAATAAATATCTCAGAGCATTTATATATTTTCATGCGGTTGTGATTATTCTAATTGACACAAATGAGCCTTTTGTATCTCTGAGTTTACCAGTGGGGCTTCGTCTAAGAAGTGTTACTGTTGTCCGAGGACAGTGTTTCACCCTCACAGAGTGCCACCACCAGTAGGTGTCGTAGGTACATTGATAATAGCTCAGTGTCACGGTTGGTTACTTAAAGCATTCGATGATTCGAGTACCATGGAATGCTGTTTTAATGCATATTTAAGTGCTGTTACACCCGAAAGCTGTAACTTCTATGCACTTGAAGTTTTCATTGAACCCCCCCACCCCCCAGCAGCATGATCTGTAGCTTTTGTCTGCATCTCCTGAACCTGTCAGTCACTCCCAGATCTTGAACCGGGGTCATCGTCATTCAGCGTCTGCAGGCATTGTGGTGATAACCCTGGTTGCACTCTCACGGTAGAGCCTTCAAGATTGACAGTGCACGCGGGTGTCCCTTTGTGTGGAAATAACAATAATAAGTAGAGTTGGAAAGCAAATTCTCAGGAGGTGGTCTCTCCGTGGCAGATCTTCCAAACAAAACACTTTTTCTATTTTTTCTTTTAAACATCATAACTGGCACAGGCGCATTCCTGTACGCGCGTAATCGGTCTCACGCCTGCAACGTGAACGCGCTCAGCAAAGTGGGTCTCACTGGGAATTTGAAGACTGGATACTCAGTTTATATTCATATTTCAGATCAGTTGATTTATTTAAAGAAATGGGCTATCATAATGGAAATGTCATCTTTCCTATTGCTTCTTCAGTTCCACGTGGCCAAATCACTCACCAGCCCTTGTGATTGTTTTATTCAAATAGACGTTAATTTGATTTCAAAGTCGGTATACATACCCATAATGTATAACATCAGAGTATAGCCTACTGTACTTGTTGTAAACCTGATACGAGTAAAATGAAATGTTTTTTGTTTTTTTTTGGTGAATTTGTAGTGTTTTTGTTCAACAACTGTCAAGTCTCAAATGTTGGGGGGAAATTACTAACACATTTTGTGCCTGCAGGGTCTGGATCGGCTGACGGCGGGGGGAGCAAACTCCACCCTGCAGATAGGATCTCTGGCAGGCGGAGCGGCAGGCAGCTTTCGCCGAAAGGGCTCGGGCTGGTTGGTCGGGACTCCTAACAAGTCCCGCAGAAACTTCAGAGGGGCAAAGTCCACGCTGAGTGAGAGGGAGACAGGGGGGAAGTTAATGTGTGAGAGCGTGCTGGGAACCAAATCACATGTCATTTTAAAGAAATGCTCCAAAGATGGCGGTGGTAATCGAGACGGGAGTTTCAGGTGCCTCCGGAGTGCAAAAAAGTGGATTTGTGGAGGTTTTGGTGCGGGAGCGGTGGCACAAAGTTTTGGTCAACTTAAACGAGGAAGCGCTTACGTTAAGCTGCGAGGAGGGCTGCGTAAACGACAACGGGGACGACAATGTCAACTCCAACGGGGTTACCAACGGATCCTACCTGGACAACAATAACACCAACTCCAACAACGGCCCCCAAACTGTGCGCACCGCGTTCACGGACCTGCCGGAGCGAGTGCCCGAGGCGATCGCCAACAGAAAGCGGTGCGTCAAGCTGACCAAGCAGGAGATAGGGGGACTGGGGATCAGCATCAAGGGCGGGAAGGAGAATAAAATGCCCATTCTCATCAGTAAGATATTCAAAGGGCTCGCAGCGGATCAGACCCAGGCTCTGTACGTGGGGGACGCCATCCTGTCCGTGAACGGCATGAACCTGCGGGACGCGACCCACGACGAGGCTGTGCAGGCGCTGAAACGGGCCGGGAGAGAGGTGACACTGGAAGGTAGGCAAGCTGAGACTCTGTGTGGATGGCAGAAATCATTTTAGACCGAGATGTGAATCAGAGACTGTGCATTGGAATCCTAACTTTTTCATACCTCATGCCCCAATTCCTGTCGTGCATTGGACAAGATAAGGTCTTATTTTAGGAAGAACGATATGTGAGTGTGTGTACTGATATATTTTAGTGAAGGAGTGTACAGCAAAAGAGATCAGTGTGTGAGTTTCAGCTTTTTCAGAGGTTCTTTTGGAGACCCAATATAATATAACATTACTCAAAGATCCCTAAGGAAGCTCTGGACCTAGACATGCATGGGAACCTAGTTGTGAGATTTTAACATCCCTCTAGTCTTACTATTTCCTTTACTGGCGTTGGGCTGGTTTATGCATTATTCCTTTGCAGACCAGTCAGTGGTCCTCATGACACAACCTATTGCAAATATTTGAATTTTACCTGCCAGTTGATTGCATTCACTCAGTATCCCAGATGCAAATCACTCCCTAAGGAACAGAATGAAAAGCAGCAGGGCTCTGAGTGTTGAAGCCTGGGAATGAAAACCTCTGCTGTAGAATGTTATTTATTTTCTATCAAAGATATGAAGTGCTGGCTGGTAGCAAGAGTAAAGATAGCAGGTGGTTATGACACCAGCCTTATCCATATCTCATCTAATCACATTTGTTTTAATTTTTCATTAACAGTGCCTCACTTTGTAGGCGCCAAACAATCTCCCACGATGGGAAACTGTTGTTAAGCTTTTCAAATGTATTTCTATTTGATCATCAGCAGAAGAGGGGGAACTACTTTATACATTTTATACACAATTGGGTGGTAATCAAGTTTCTGAATTGCTGTCTTTTGCACAAAATAAGTTAAGATTCAGATCAGTATGTTAACACTTACTATGCAACCAAAGGGGCCATGGGAAGATCATACAAGGTCAGCTTATATCGTCTCTTATCCTCTCACGCTTGAACAAATTCAGCTCTAGAGTTCCTGAAGTGTCTCTCACATATAGACAACACACACATACACACACACATGCCCACGCACACACAAACACACTTGCTTTCAACTCACTCACACAAACTGTGCAGCCCAGTTAGTTTTGTGCAATTTTTAGCCAAAGTGAAGATAAAATCAGGATAATTGCAGGCACAATCCACCCTGAGGGAAGGACACTATTTTATCCCCTGAAAACCCACACATACACACATACAAACACACGTATACTACATATACTCAAGTATTCAAGCACAAATATAAAAAGCATTCACACACCGGAAAATGTAACACACAAGTGCCCAGCCCTAAGATTTTTATTCCTGTTCCTGTGACCCAAGATGGTAAGAACAAAATGTCTCTTACTCTCGCACACACACATGCACACTTACACGCAGACACACACACGCAGACACACACACACATGGTGATGATCCTTCCCAGGGGGACATAAGCGGCTACATTGCAGAGGAAAAAGCAGGTCCCAGCTGAAAACTTACCAAGATAAGACGGGAGGAGAGAGGGAAAGAAGCAGGCAAAAAGGAAGGAAGAGAGAGATAGGGGGAGATGGGAGGGGAATAGGGGCTGAAATGTGAATTTAATGGGCAAAGTGCTGTGAGGGAAAGAGATAGAAAGAGACTGAACAGAAGGGTAGCTAACGAGGGAGGCTAACAGTCTGATATTAAGATGACAGCCAGGGTTAACTTAAGGGTAACAGGGAGAAAGAAGTGCAATTTAACACAGATAATTTGCGTTTGGCAAAGCAGTGAAGCATAGAGGAATAGTACAAATGACTTCAGAGTGTTTTCAAGGGGTTTCGTGGATCTTAAGGGGGATAAGATGTGTTTAACGCGTAAGCCATCATGTTAACTCTAATTCCAAATTAAAAAACAATTAAAATGGGAGATGTATTCGATTCTACGCCTGAGTATGAAGCATCTCTTAGACAGATTCTGAGAAAGGGTATGAGAAGGAAACATCTAATTCAACTGAGAGATAGTGCACGTCTCGAGAGGGTTCTGCAACTCTGTGTGTACAATACAGAGCATGTTTGTGCATTTTGTGACTGTGTACGTAAGAGAGCTTGTAGTACGTGTGTGTTTGTGATTTCAACCATAGATTAGGCAAGCCCTACTGGAACCTTGTTTAAAGAAATGGAGAACACATGTAGCTAGAATAGGCAGCGACTTTTCACTCCTTCAGGCTGTTAGGGCAGTAGATTGACCCAGTGGCCGAAAACTGAGAGGACCACAGTTCAAGCCCCACTGTCAGAGAGCATCTGCTGTGTTAAAGTGTCCCCTGAGACGCTGGGTTTCTCCGGCTCTGTTCTGTGGCTCAGCATGCAGCCTGACATGTTGAAGTGAATTACCCTTTAGGGACCAATCAGGGTGCTTCTGCAGCTGTTCCACAAAGCGCCTAGGATGCTATTATTGAGGTCCAGTGAAAATCTGTTGTTCACAAATAAAGCCTTCGATTATATATCATAGGAAAACAATAAATAATACAGTCACAGGTTTGTACTTGCAATTTGAGAGTCACACTGGAGATCGCTAGGTTAGCTAACAAGGTCCATCTGAAGCACTGTCTAATCAGGGCACCTTATCTTAGTCACTTGTATTACAGGAGCCATCATTTATGCTATAAGTAACACCTGTGCCTTTATGCTACTATGACTAGTCAAAACGAATGGGGAAAAAGTCCTATGTTACATGCTATTGGTAGGAGGGTGTTGCTGGAGGTTGTGTTATAATTAGACATCACAGTCTGATCCTAAAGCAAAACAGCACCCGGCTGCCCACCATGCTCGAAAACAAAGTGCTTGCTGAACTGTAAAACAGTGTTTGAACCCCCTCTCCCCACATGTTGCCATTGTTAGAATTATAGAGGGTTGCAGTCAATGTTTTAAGCATATTTTTGTTACAGACAATATGCAAAGCTTTTTGCCTTGTTCTTTCACAGCAGACGTTTAGACCTGTCGATAATAGAAAACTGTCATAAGTGAGATGTCCACTTGAAGGAGAGCAATAATGGAAAAAGCTTGAACTTCTCTCTCAAAAAGACATGCAAAAAAGACCCAATAGCCGCTTTCACACCAAGTACTTTGCCGTACTTAGTTCCCAGCACTTAGTTCCCAGCACTTAGTTCCCCCATGGAACTAAAGAGCAGATCGCATTCACACCGGAATAAGTCCCTGAGGGAAGATTACGCAAATGAAGCCGCTGACGTCACTTCTTCTTCTTCTGCTTTGGGTTTACTGGCAGGCCGCAAACAACTTCACGGCGTATACTGCCACCCGAAGTCCCCGGCCGGAAGTCCCCGGAGTTGGGGGCTGGCTTCAGTAGAAGCTGCTGGGACTCCCAGCAGCTTCTACTGAAGCCTTCCGAGTAAATCGCCAGAACGCCGACACCTCCTCATCACTCCACCGCTCCCATGTTTTTTTTTGTGTTGCCATAAGTTAGTCTCTCTCCGTTGGTGCGCTGGGCTAATGCTAATGCTAATAATGCTAATGCCAGCAAATACAATGGTGGCTTCACAAAACTTTTCTGAGTTTTACGGGGCGTGGTTTGCAATCCGCCCAGCCAATCAGAAATTGGAACTTTTTTCTCCCCAGGAAAGTACCTGCTCTCTGGCAGGGACTGAAAAGGGGGGGAAAAGTTCTCATGAACTAAGTTCTCTTTTTGGTGTGAACGCAAAATCCCAGGAACTATCGGAACTAAAAGGGAAAAGTATGGGAAAAAGTACTCCGGTGTGAAAGCGCCTATAGTTCAAGGTATTTAGTCATACGAACGTAGCTACAGTGTAGTTATGCCGATGAAAATCTTGTGTCACAGGCTTCTCCAACAGAGCAACACAATAACACAGATAAACAGAAAAAATATAGTGCAAGTAAATAGTAAATAGTAATACAAAAAGAAAAATAGTTTTAAAATAGTGAAATAGTGCAATAAGAGTCTATATGCAAGTTATTGAAATAGGATATATAGGTAAATAGATAAATAATTTAAAAATAATTTTTAAGTAGCAGCCAGATGAATATTAGGGATGTTGTTTCAACAGTTCAGGTGTTTAACAGTCTTATTGCCTGTGGAATGAAACTGTCCCTGAGTCTGGTGGTTTTAGTTCGGATGCTGCGGTAACGCCTGCCAGACGTCAACAGGTCCTGCCCATACACTGTAACTTTATTTCTCTCCCTAAATGAATGGCCAATTGACAACCTATGAGATGCCCTTGATGAAAACATCAGGAGCCGTTGCCCCTTTACCTGCCGGTGGTAATAACTTCATGAATGGTGTCAGTAATGGATAACTACTCTTACAGCTGTCCCTGTTCTCTCCTTCAGCATTTCTCAATTCCCAGTTTGCACATCCTTGATTACTCTCCTCGCCTCGTGTTGTTTTTCATAATTGTTTTGTTATATATGCAATGCTGATTGAAAATTCAGTTGAACCATGGGGGTGTTAAGTGCATCTTTTCCCTCAGAACAAAGAACACTTTCATAGGATAAAAAGAGATGAGAACAATTCCTTTGGAGAATTGCGTAACTCAATTCACTTTTCTATAATTAAAACTGGATAGTTTCATATGTAAAGCTCTTAACACGTTTTGATTACAGTCTATTTTAGAGCCAGGAGGAGATGTAGATAATGTCTACCCCACACAATGAGGGTCAGATTATTCATAGTATTATACTGTATGATGATTATACCTGTTTGATCATTCATTGAATTACGTGTAGGCTGAACAAAGACTTAATTCCCATGGTTGACTTGCTGTAAATAGGCTAGAACTGACCTCAAAGTAGTACAGGTTGACTATAGCTAGATTAATTGAGAATACTAATTATATTATTCCCATTAAAGGTGTGTCAAAAGTGTTCTGCAGTTTTCTTTAACAGTAGGCTGTAATAATACCTACTACTGTGAAGCCTATCAAGGCTATCTTATGCAAACGCTAGAGCTGATAGAATGTAACCTTACCATAAGATCTGCCCTGCTTTGTTCTAG